ATTAAAAATTTAATTTTAGGTCGAGAAACGGATTTTTTCGGCCAAGAATGACTAAAAACTGGACCGGGCAAAAATTAGTATTTTTTGAAAATTCGCTTAGCTGACATTTCTATGTGTCGTAATTTCGATGAGTCGTAATTTCGATGAGTCGTAATTTCGATGAGTCGTAATTCGATGAGTCGTAATTCGATGAGTCGTAATTTCGATGGGATGCAATTCGATGGGATGCAATTCGATCAGATGTAATTCGATGGGATGATAGCAAATCCTTTTCTCGCTGTTGTCACTTCCGTTTTTACTTGCTGAATAAAGGATTTTGGGATCCAGGGTTGAAGAAAAATTTTTGAACTCACCACGACACCGCAACACATCTACCCGTCTTTGAACTGCATAATCGAACACCATCTCCAAATAGTGGCCAGGTTGCGCGTGCGCGTTGCGTAGCGCGGTTAGATTTTACCTCACCGCGGGCTGGCCGACACGACGTCGTGATAGCCGGCATTGGAAAAGCGAGCCTGCGCATTATGTATCGCCGGTGCGCAAGAATCCATAAGGAATGATATCATGCCTTGCCCGCCCCTTTAAAGCCATGAAAAGCACACAGGCCTAATTTGTGCAGTACGCATTTTATTTCATGATTATTAGTGTGCAGCGTCTATGCATTATTATTGATGGCAAATAGGGCGTCGTTGTACCGTGATGGCGGTTCGGTTTCTTCGTCGGAGCTGAAAAGATAAAGAAATGCTAGAGTTAACTTTGTTTTTGTTATTTCTAGTCCGATAAAGGTTTCCGGAAACGAACTTTGTCCAGTAGGAATTCTCGCCGTAGATCATTCGCGGGTGGTAGAGCACTGGGTCGGCCACATTATTGTCAGCCACCTCGTTTTCACTGGAAAATGAAAACTATGAAGTCGGAAGACGGCTTAGGCTTAGGCTTGGGCTTAGGGTTAGGCGGGCTTAGGCCGAAGCTTAGGCTGAGGCCGAGGCTTAAGCTTAGGCTTAGGGCTCCGCTCACACTGGGGCTTAAGCTGGTTTGGGCTTCATCTTTGGCTTAGTTTTAGCCGAGGGCCCTCGGCTTGGGCATCCTTAGTCAGAGCCTTATGCTGGGCTTATAACTAGCTTAGGCTTAGGCTTGGGCTTAGGATTAGTCATAGGCTTAGGCGTTTACTCACGATCAAGCCGCCGCTCACGCTCGCGCTTCTGATATTCTTATGCTCACACTGAGGCTACGCTCATTCTTAGCTCGTACTCACGCGAATTGGACGCTCTCAGCTACAAAAATATTACCATGCCAGCGCTTATGCTACACTCTCATGCTTACGTTCGTGCTACACCCATGTCTACGCCGGTTTTGCCATGCTTCGTTTCCATGCTTAACAGAGTGCGAATGTATGGACGCAGGTCTAAACTTATGGTACGCTGGTGCTCTTGCTCACGCTTATACCGTGTTACACTGTCTAATCTACCACTTATAAAACGTCTTTTAGCGCCGCACGTAAATGCCGATACCTGGTATTAACTTCCTGGGAGAATCCGTCTCTTCCCAGCCTCTTCAATTCAAATAAAAGGTTCTAACTTACGCTCTGCCAGTCCAACTTGCACTGCACGAGGGCCAGCCAGTAAAATTAGTATAATTTGGAAAACCCGCGAGATCATGGCGGCTACTGAGGATTTTAGCGCTCCAAAAAACGGCTGTGGTTTCTCGAAGTGACGACCAGCCGTTTTCAGCGCTCGGAACCGAGAGCAACATGGTCGCTCAATAACTTTGTGGGCCGGGGTTGATGGCTTCAGTTTTCTCGCCCGTGTGGTGCCGGGGTTTTCAGCTGACCCACTCTGCCGTATCGTAGAAACGGGCGAAAATCCCGGGGGGAAACGATGCTTGATTCTAGTTGCAAAGTTATAACTTTTCGCTTGATCGGGTTTTAATGTAGGTTTTGCAAACTTTTTAGCAAAAGCAAAAAAGTACGGTATATTTTGCGCTTACGGTCACGTATTATTCGGTGTGTAATAAAGGTCTCGACAGGACATGCCTACGCTTTTGCGTTGCCAGCTAACTTTTCGTAAGGGGCCTCTCTGTCGCCGCGACACGCAACGCGTCTCGCGTCGCCCTTCCCGCAACTGGCAAAGCTCCTTGAAAGGAAAGGCCATGGATTCCATGGATTTTTCAACCCCGCGACACGCAACGCGCCTCCAATTCCAAAACGGTAAACGGACTACTACCTACTGAATGGAATAAAAAAGCCAAAATCATAAAGTTTCTGTCATTCGCGACCCGCAACGCGAGCCCCATTCGCGACGTAGGGGAGTACGACGATTCACGGCCGATAGTGGTCCTGGCTACGCGTGTCGGGACAGTTAGTCATTCACTTGCCCAATTCGGGATACCAGTCGGCTCCGTATATCCGCGTACCCCTTTGTTCGCTCCTCTCCTTGCCGAAACGTGCGCGACATTCCAGGTCTGACGGTGGTATTCCGTATTCAAAATCGCAGCGTGGCAGTCATAAGCAAAAAATACCACCAAATAAAAAAACTATTTTAAAGTAAGAAAAATGAAGTTTCTAGATTCTGTTCTTGACTATTCGGGGGTTGCTGGCCCGACTATCCGAATCCGGCAAAAACCCTAAGCTCCAGCTTCTTCCTTCGAGTTTGAATGCGGCTGCGGACAGAGACCACAACATGTTGATCACGGGTTCTACGACAAATCGCCACACACAAAACCTTTTATCCGAAACCAAACAAGTTTTGCGCACGCAATCGAAGGGAAAGATGGGGCTGAGGAGCAGCCGGGGGTGACGACGATCGATGTAAAATTTTAGTGAAACTCCCGGAGTTCATGAATTAAAGGAACATGGAAGTCAGAGGGTGAAGGCTTTTTACTCAAACGGTAATGGCTCGAATCCCGCAGACGAGTACCACTAATTTTTTAGGCGGAGGCCAGCGTTAACCGGGGACTCTCTTAAAGACGCTCCTCAGCTGTCCAGAGAAAAATTCGAATTCAAAAGCTTGAATTGATTTTACGCATAATCGAGGCGGCTGGTTCCTAATACGGTATTTTTGCCGGCGCAAGCAATCAATGCGATAAAATCAAACAGCTAGAAAAACATGCGACTGCGGAAAATGTTGGTCAACTCGTCGACGAGCGCCTCGTGGCGGTAGGAGACGCGAATGTCCGGCACGTTGGTGCGGTGAATGTCGTTGCCGAGAACGCCCTCCTCCTTGAAGTTGGGCCTCAGCCAGTGGATTTTCACCTTAAAATCCAGATTTGTGATGCAGATCCATAAATTGCTTGCCTTGCTGAACCCTTTAAGCCAAAAAGCCTGATTTATCCTCAAACCCGCTCTGCAGCACCGAGTTCCTGGCCAGCTCGCACATGTCGCAGGAGGACAGCTTCCAGACCTGGGCGGCGATCGAGTATTCCTCCATCAGCGCTTCTTTGGTGTAGTGAAATTGGAGGGGATCGTCCGTAGAGAGCGAGACGTTCAGGCCCTAGAATACAAGAACTGGAACTAGCTAAGATTTATATACCTTCTGCATAAACTCGTGCATCGGATTTCGCTGGTAGCTGACGAAGAGGGAGTTGTTGCTCAACGGGGACATGGCGATGCCCATTTGGACGAGGTAGTAGAGGTATTGAAGGACGGGGACCTGGAAATTCTGGGTTTAGAGCGAGAGAGAGAGAGAGAGAGAGAGAGAGAGGAGAGAGAACGAGAAAGGACCTCAAGATATCTTAAGACCCTTAAAATAAAAAAAAAAAAAACCCCAACCCCAAATACCAAACCTTCTTCCAACATCAACCCGTGAGCAATACTTTCAGCAGTCAAGAATCCAGTCACCAAATGGTTCACATGGCCGGCTTCTCCGCAGTGAGGGCGCAACGCGAACGTGTTCATACCACGAGACCTGAAAATTACGATTTACCGGCCCCCAATGCCCAAAAATTCGATCCGGTAGCCGACACCAACCTGCGGAACGCGTTCAGCAGCGACAGATTGGCGTACATGTAGTAGAGGTAGTAGTTGTACGGCGGGTTCTCCTTGTCGGTGTATTTTTCTGGGACTGGGGTGCGGATGTCGAACTGAAATCGACGGTTGGAGAGCGAGAGATAGAGAGAGGGCGAGAGAGAGGCGAGAGAGGGAGGGGAGAGGGAGAGGGGAAAGAGAATGAGCCCCCAGATAAACCTTACGTGTACAAATTCATGCTTGCTCTCATCGTCCACCGAGTCGATGCCGGAGACCTGTTGCAGGAAGCGGTGAAGCTCCGGGTGGGAAGCTGGATCGTTGGTGACCTCGAACAGCGGCAAGAAGATGTTGTCGAGCAGTTCCACCAAAGTTCTTCATGGATCGGTGCGGTAGATGTCGCTGGAATTGTTAGGTTTTAAATTTTAAACAGACCGACGAGATCTTCTTTTGGGTGAGGCAAACACAAAGAGCGAGAGAGAGCGCGAGAGAGGGGGGAGAGAGAGCGAGAGAAAGTCACTCACTAAAGTCTCGGAATCTGGATCAACCAGCGAGCATTCGTGCTCCAGACGTCGTGACTGATGGCCCAGCTCGCAGCTTGTCCCACTCGTCCCGGCATCTACCGTAAATCGATAGACACGCGGCTCGGCTTGTTGATATTTCGACTCCTCGAGGTCGAAGAGCACCTCCTGAAGGAATATCGATCATGAGTATTTACAGTTAAACTTCAATAAAATCAAGTAAACCCCAGTTACACTGACCTTGATCGCTCGGCAAAATACTTGCCGCCGACGTGGTTGTCCGTTTTGATAAAGATCTCGCGGAGCCGCGATTCTCCAACCGGGTTGTATCTGAAGGGTAAGGTGGATGAGTGAAAAGGAAGGGTGAGAGAGGGGCGAAGAGCGAGAAAAGCTCGAAAAGACCTACTTTGCGTTGAACTTGTCGAATCTGTGGAACGTGTTGCGGTCGGCGTGCACGTCGAGCATGTCGACTGAGAGATCGTACGCATCGATACCCATACCCTCGAAAACTTCGCGCATCGTGATCGGCTTGCCGCCCCTAGAAATGGAGGGTTAGAGGGGCGAGGAGAGAGAGAGAGACAGAGAGAGAAAGAGAGAAACTTTTACCTCCATCAACACAATCGTCTTCCCGTCCGTCTTGATCTTCTTCTTGATGAAGCGGAGGAGGTGCTTTTGGTTCATCGAGGACGCGGCGTGGATGTGAGTGTCCACCTAAAGCAGGACATTTTCAAGAAGGTCATCATACAAGAAAACTGCTCCAAAACCCACTCACTTTTCTGATATTGTAGAAATCGCGGTGGGAAACGCATTTCTGTTCGTGCAGCTCGCGCAACTCGTTCATCAGCACGTGGAGGGAGAACTTGTTCTGGAGGTAGGAGAGGCGACGGTAGCAGAAGGATTTCCTGAAAATCGCGGAAAATTCAGATGAAGGGCGTCTTAAAGGTTTCTTGCTGAGTCCCCACTCTCATCTCTCTCTCTCCCTCTCTCTCTCTCTCCTCTCACGCCAGCAACTCACATTGGCCCATTGACAATCATAGCTGTCAAGATCTCGGTGTCAAGCAGGAATTTCTCTTGCGAGATGTAGCAGTCGTCGAACTTGGTCTCGCGCGTTCCATCCGCGTGGTAGAAGTGTGTCTAGAAAAATATCAAAACTGGACCGTTACATTATGATCAAAATTGAAGGGTTGGTGAAGGCAAAAAATCGGGCCCCACCCAACCCCAATTTTTCTATTTTCGTCGCCTTTTGAGTACGGGGTGCCCCCAAAAAGATCCCTTCTCGCGAGCGAACCCCTGAGAAAACCTACGACTCCATCCTTTCTCCTCAGCTCGTATTTTTCCTCAAATTCCGGGGAAGCGGGTTGTAGAGACCCCAGTGGTCGGTCGGGGGCTCCGGCGGGTCGGAAGGGGAGGTGTTGGCGGCTGGAAGAACACGGTAACTTCGGTTCTTGGCGGTTTGCCAAGATTTGGGAGCTCTCCCCAAGAGAAGATTTTCTAGTGGTTTAAAGGAAAAGTGAAGGCAGAAAGCCATTGAAACGAATTTTATACGTTCGAAACCCGCGAAGTTTGGGTTTGCAATTCGTGAAAATTTTTAAATTGGCTTTTTTCAAAAAGCCAGTGCTAAATAATTTCTAAAATTTTTGAAAGAGCTACTGACACAATTCCTGCCTTCCCCGACCTTTTCCCAGACCATAGAAATTTTGTATAGACCTGGGAACGCCCAAATTCTTGGCAAACAGCCAAAAGCCATCTTCCAAACAACCAATCCGTTCCAAAACGCCGTATATTGTGAGAAAAATCGAGACCAGGAAATTTCGCGGGAAATAAGATTATTTCGACAAATAGCGGAGGAGATTCAAGGACCGCTGAACCCAAAATCCGCTCGACTTTGACTTCAACGGTCCTGTAGAATGGACGAAAAAGAGAAGATGTTGGCATGCCAATGAGTGTGGGGTTTTCAAAAACCAAGTTTAACTCTTCACCTCGGTCTTTTAAGCTTTTGTAAGTGTCAAGCCTTGGGGTTTTTGGCCAAGCAAAGGATACGGTAGTTATATGATTGTTTAATAACTTTTTGGGGATTATTCAGGTCAGGTTTTAGCGGGCTTGCAGCCATTGGGGTGCACGCGGTACCACCGGCTCGATGGTGCTTGCGGAAACGGCTCCTCTAGGTACGGATCGGTCTCCGTGCGCTGCCAAGGGACTAAAAAGTTTTCAATGTTCGGTATCATACTGCTATATTTTCGGTATTTTAAAGGTGCTAGGAAGCACCAAGGTCGACTTTGCATATTCACTCAGAATTCGACAGCTACGAGATGCGTCAACTTACAACTGCTATATTTTATGGAGAAAAGCCATATCGGAGCGCGAGAAAGTCAGGACTGAGAGCTAGAGCTAGAGAGAGAGCGAGAGACATAGAGAGAGATAGACGAGAAAGCGAACGCGAGAGCGGGAGAAAACGAGAGGAAACGAGCCCGACGGATAACGAGATCAGATGATAGGAGCGAGAGCGGCGCGCGGGAGAGCGTGAGAGCGTGAGAGCGGGAGAGAGAAAGGGAAAGAGGGGAGCGAGAGAAAAGAATGAGAGCGACAGAACGCGAGAAAACGTGATCGGAAGAGCGAGAATCAGTCGAGAACCAATTTTCTAGACCTAGTCGGATCCCCAAGGGTCGATTCCTTACGCTTCCTGGCCCCATTAAAAACCGAAAGTCTGGACAAATTTGATAAGTTTTTTAGTTCCGTGTTTATGGGCCTTCCCCCCTAACGCTTCACGATAATATTTTCAGGTAAAGACTGTACACGAAAAAACAACTGTTTGGTGCCGTGGACGCGACTAAACAAAATAGGGTGCCACCCGCCGGGGGAATCGAAAAGGTATCGGAATCCCGTGGGCGTGTTTGAAGAGAGATGAAATTCAGAAAAATGGAGGAGCATATATAAAAATATGAAAAGGAGAGAGACCATCGATATAATTCAAACTGCCCCAGAGAGGTAGATGGACCTACACAAATCAAGACCTGAAAATGGCGGTTTAATGGAGTATCGTGAATATAAAAGTAAAAGTTAATTTTTATGAGCTTTCAGTGTTCTTAAAAATATAATACCAAAATTTCCCTAAAGTATGGTAAAGTAAATGCTTATTAATTTATGAGTACGAGTCAAGCCGAACTTACTGGATTCGGTGTTCTTCTTCCGGCACTTGGGCAAATTCTGCGGGTAGTCGCCCTTCAGGAAATTGGATACGGTGGTGGGGAAGAAGTTGCCAATGCGCCGCATATATTCCTCGCGGATTTCTAGGGCCTTGATCAACTCCTTGGAGGCGACGTTGTGGTCTTCCAGAGGTACCTGGAAGAAATTTTCATCACTAGCTCATCACCGACATAAACTTTTCTATAAGACTACTCCTCATAATCAGCTAAATCGCCTAATTGCGAATTTATGTTATTTTTTCAAGGGACCGCGAAGGCATAATCTATGGCACAAACATCCAGAAACTGCACAAAAAATGTAATTTTCAGGTTCGCTCTCTATCTCGCTCTCTCTATCTCTCGCGCGCTCTCTCTCTCTATCTCGCTCTTTCTCCTTTCTCGCTCTTCTCTCTCACTCTCTCTCTCTCTCTCTCTCTCTCTTTCTATCTCTAAATCTATGTTTGTCCCTTCCATAAGAATCCGTTTCCCCGGTTTTTGAAAAATCAACATTAGACTACGGCGCTCGCAATGCCTTCTAAATTCGTAAACACGCCAATACTAATTACAGATCCAAACAAAGGCAAACTCCAATTTTTCAAACTCACCCCGCTCAACTCCTCGCCCGTAATGGCCATCCCCTGATAGTTGACATCAATGGCATCGCGGAACGTGTGCATCTCGATCAGTTGTGGGACTTGGCGCTAAATGAAGCCATGTAAATTTTGGAGGCCACTGGTTTTGAGTATTTTTTGGAGGGGCGGAGCCCTGAATGAGTCATGCTACGCGCCAATCCCTCAAGCCATTTAGTCGGTCGGCCAGCTGGGCCATGTCTAGACCGGCCGAATGGCAAAGGGGCTGCTTTTCACATTTTGTTTTTGCGAGCTTCCGATCCGATCAGACCGGAAATGCAGATTTTGGGTGAAGCTGAACCGTTTTTTGCTTTCAGGTACATTTCTTAATGTTTTTAAAGCACGATATGTACAATATAAAATCCCAAACGCTTCCTGATTTCCTGGTCCCTTCAAATTGCCTTGGAACCGATTAGCAGGTCCACCAACCAAAAATTTCCCTGCCAGTCTGTCTTGGCCACCGAAAACGGCAAGTTCATTCTGTTTTAAAGATTTTCCGGAATAAACTCTGCTAGCTTGCCCTGAAAACGAAGGCCAGCCTGTTTAAAAATCTTTTCATACAAAAGCGCGCTAGCTTACCTCTCAAACTAAGAACGAAGGAAAAAGTGGGGTACGTTTTCAACCTCCTAAAAATTCACTGTTAATTTGCGTAGAAATTCAAGAAAAGTTCGTTAGCCTCTCTTTAGCTATTTCCTTAAGAAACGCCGCCAGCGTGCCCTGAAAATGGGCTTAAGCTGCTCAAAAATCATTTCCCAAAGAATCTCGCTGGCCTGCCACCTGGTTAGAAAAAGTTTTGAACCAGTTATAGTAGGAGACTTGTAGTTACTTAAATCAGAAAATTTCTAAATGAATTCTGCTAGCTTGCCTTATTCAAAGGGCTGTGAATAGATGGGGGTCAGGAGTCTAGATACGAAAGGACGTCCCTAAAGGACCTCTGCTAGCTTGCCTCAGCTGCGCCGTAGCAATCCAAAACACCGAAATTTAAAGAAAAAATACCCACCGTGGTGTCTCATCCTCCAGAAGAATTCCATTGGTCGATCGTGGGCTTAGGGTGCCCTCATTCATCGATGATTCGAGGCGAGCACTAAACTTTGAAATTTAGTGTCGAGGTATAGGTACGAAACCCAATTCACAACATCGCCATCAACGACTTTCCTGACGGGACTCCAGGTTTACAACAATTTTACGATAAAATGGTCGAAACCTGGTATGTTTTATACACTTTTCTACCTAAAACAGCGGGGAGGGTGTGCTGTTTTTGGACGAATATTTTGACGCGACCATCGATATGGATGTCCATGGTCTGGAGGGGGTCCTGTAGTTTGGAGTAGTAGCTTGGGAGGTAGGATTATTGTCGCATTTCTTAAGAGTGGTAGAACGATCAAAAAGTTTTAAGGATTCAAAAACACGTAAAAATAAGGTATTTTTCAGAAATTAAAAAAATTCGCAAAAACGTATACAACCGTAGAGTACCGTATTGTAAGGTGTACAGTTACGGAAAAAGCAAAATTTGTGAATCCAATTTGTATAAACATGAAAACAAATAGCTGCAGAACTTCCCAAATTCCA